CTGACAATTGACTGATTGCTACATTACTCTCCGTACACTCCCGCGGCTTGTATTGTTACTCTACCGCGCATCCTCCCACCCTATACGCTCCTTCTCTACCTCGTGCTGTGTTTTACTGCGCCGCAGCTTCTGTCCTCGGCCACCGAATTAGTGTCGCCACGCAACCGCAGCTATTCACCACACCGCCGAGACCAGTGTTTGAAGATACACCGCCGAACACATATAAACATCATTCGCCAGTCCTCTTCCTACGTACCGCAAACAACCCACCGCCGAACATAGACTTGATGTCTACAACCACCACAATGCCCGGCCGCACCCTTCCGACGATTCCGACCGCCGAGGTGCGCGCGCACAATAATGAGAAGTCCTGCTATGTCACGATTGGCACCAAGGTCTACGATGTTACCGACTTCCTTGATGGCCATCCTGGTGGCCCCGAGTTCATCCTGGAATATGCGGGCAAAGACATCGAGGCAATCCTGAAGGACGAGATCTCACACACCCATTCCGATTCCGCATACGAGATTCTCGAGGAGAACTTGGTGGGCTTCATGGTCCCCGAAAATCTTCTGAATGGCGTAGTAAAGAGCTCGAATCCTGCAGATATCGTGCCTCTGCCATCTTCCGAGGTTGGCAAGCTGGAGCTCAAGGGCATGGAACAGGACGGGAAGCCGCTGTACGAAGCAACCGGCATGTCATCTGCGGAGGATCTTTCAAAGCCGACGGATCCGAACCAGGACTACAAGCAGCACAAATTCTTGGACCTGAGCAAGCCGCTTCTGATGCAGGTCTGGAATGGTGGATTCAGCAAGGACTTTTACCTACAGCAAGTGCATCGCCCGCGCCACTACAAGGGAGGCGACTCCGCGCCGCTGTTCGGTAACTTCCTGGAGCCGCTCAGCAAGACCCCATGGTGGGTTGTACCATCGCTTTGGTGGCCTTGTGTCGCATATGGAACAGCCGTCGCGTTTGGCGGGCTATCATCAGCGACGGAACTTGCTGGGTACTGGGTCTTTGGGCTGGGATTCTGGACCATTATCGAATACGTCCTGCACAGGGGGTTGTTCCATTTGGACGAGTAAGTACTCCTCATCCATATGGATCTGTCTGTACTAACATCAAGCAGCCATCTCCCGGATAACCGCGTCGCGATCACCCTCCACTTCTTGCTTCACGGTATTCACCACTACCTTCCCATGGACAGATACAGGCTCGTCATGCCACCTACACTCTTCGCTGTCTTGGCGGCGCCGTTCTGGAAGTTCGCACACGCTATCATTTTCTGGAACTGGTATGCCGCTCTGGCTGCCTACTGTGGTGGTATCTTTGGCTACACCTGCTACGACATGACACATTACTTCCTCCACCACCAGAAGTATGTATACCCATAGATCACTATGGAGGACCTCGCTAACAAACTGAAGGCTACCTCCCTACTACCAGCAACTCAAGAAGTACCACCTTGCGCACCACTTCGCCGACTACCAAAACGGTTTCGGTGTCACCAGCCGCTTCTGGGACCGCATCTTCGGCACCGAGCTTGAGATGGGACCCTCCAAGGTCATCAAGTCGACTTAGATGGCGACGTACGAATAGACTTTTGTTATTAGACACCCACCTGTCACCACGTTGTCAAGACCGGCATTGAAGAAGGCGTTCAGCGGGTCTGCAGGGCCATTTTGGGTCGATGCAGCTTTGATGTTTGTAGATAACTTTATGACTCACTACCTCAGATAATAGTAATGCCAACAATCACTTCACTTCTGTTCACTATTAATCAGTCACTGCTCATTTCCCTGTTGCGCTCACGGCGGCAGTCACCTCCGCACGTAACTTGCTGCCTATTAGTCACACAGACCCTGCCAAGGCCCCTCCAACTTTTCAAGTTATCACGCCCAGGCCTGCCTCTCCACTTTCCACTCACCCACCCATTAACACGTCGTGCTGCACGAGCAAAGCTTCAATCAAGCACCCATTTGTCAAGTGCATCTCGGTCAAGAGGTCATTCGGCAAGCGCCAGCAGTATTATTTTCTACGTCCGTTCGATATCGCAATTGAAATCAATACTTGAGCCCCAGCTCGCCATCACAACAACACATCGCCCATTGCAGTGACATCGCGCATCACTTCCACCAGCTACGCTTATCGAGAGCTAGGAACCGCCACCGACGTCGCCATGTCTACTCAAGCCGCAGTCGAGGCCCTCCTCGAGGAGACCGCCCGCGAGGTCGAGATGAAGGACGCCGAGCGCAAGCGCACCGCCAGCAGCGAGGCGCGCGACACCGACAGCCGCCGCGACGACCGCCACTCAGATCGCCGTGACCGCCGTGATAGGAGCCGAGACCGTGGGGACCGTCATCGTGAGTCCAATGGAGATCGCCGTCGCAGCCGCGATAGAGACCACCGCCGAAGAGACGGAAGCCGTCCCCGTTCTAGCAAAGGTGCTGACACAGATGAAGACCGTGATAGGCTCCGCCGCAGCAGCTCGCGCGACCGCCGTGGAGGTCGTGGAGGCCGTGACCGCGGAGGCGACTTCTACAGCGGTAGCGGTCGTCCGCGTTCCCGCTCCCCTCGCGACCGCGGCAACGACAGGTACCGCGAGAGGTCCCGCGACCGTCGCCGCAACGGTGGCGATGACCGTCGCAACAGCCGTCGCAACAACACCCCGCCCAAGCCAGAGGTCACCGAGGACGACCGCGACAAGCGCACCATCTTCGTCCAGCAGATCTCCCAGCGTGCTGAGATGCGTCACTTGCGCAGCTTCTTCGAGCGTGTCGGCCCTGTTGTCGAAGCTCAGATTGTCAAGGACCGAGTTACCGGCCGTAGCAAGGGGTGAGTACTCACTTCTCCGTTCCTCATACACACATGCTAACATCCGTCCAGTGTCGGCTACGTTGAGTTCGAGGCTGAAGAGTCTGTCCCTCTTGCACTGGAGCTGACTGGCCAGAAACTGAAGGGCGTCCCCATCATTGCCCAGCTTACTGAAGCCGAGAAGAACCGTGCTGCTCGTCCTTCCGAGGGCGGTGCTGCACCCGGTGCCAACGGCGCCCCCTTCCACCGTCTCTACGTCGGCAACATCCACTTCAGCGTCACCGAGAAGGATCTCCAGGAGATCTTCGAGCCTTTTGGTGAGCTTGAGCAGGTCATCCTCCAGCGCGATGAGTTGAACCCTGGCCGCTCCAAGGGATATGGTTTCGTTCAGTAAGTCGTCTGTCCATGTTCACTGCAATATATCTTGCTAACACATCGCAGGTTCGTTGACCCCTCGCACGCTAAGAATGCTCTCGCAGAGATGAACGGTTTCGAGCTCGCCGGCCGCCAGATCCGCGTTGGTCTCGGTAACGACAAGTTCACCCCCGAATCGACCGCGAACCTCCTCCGTACATTTACCCAGCAAGCTCAGTCCTACCAAGGCTCTGCTTTCAGTGGTGCTGGTGGTCGTGGTGCCTATGCTGGCGGTAATGGTGGTGTCTTCGACCGTACCCATAGCAAGGATGACCGTGGTGTTAGTGGTGCCTCTGCTCTCGACGACTCTGATGTCGCTGGAGTCAACTTCAAGACCTATGACCGCAGCAGGCTCATGGACGCTCTTGCGCGCCGCGACGTTCCCGGTGACTCCAGGCAGGGCGGTCAGGCTATGCCTGTTCCCACCACTCGCAAGGCTCCCGCCCCCACCCCCGCCGCTCCCATGGCCTCCAAGTGCGTCAAGATCGAGAACGTCTTTGACCCTGACGAGTAAGTCCTCGCATCTTCTCCTAGAGATTCGCTAACACATTACCAGGGAGCAGCGCAACTACGGTGACAACTGGAACAAGGAGCTCCAGCACGAGATCAAGTCCGAGTGTGACAAGAAGTACGGCAAGGTCGTTCACATTGCTGTCGACGCCAACAGCGAGGGCGACGTCTTCGTCAAGTTCGACTCCGTCTCCGGTGGTGAGAAGGCTCTCCAAGGTCTCAACGGTCGTACTTTCAACCACCGCACCATCCGCGCTTCCTACGTCGTGGACAAGATCTACAACTCCCTCTGGGGTGCTGCTGCCAGCAGGTTCTAACCGACCGGTACGTCACAACTGTCGTGGGGTGCTCGGTAGCCACTACTGCCGAGCATGCCCAGTCACTCATGTGCACAGTATACCCTGATCGGTTCTTACGGTTTCTTTACGGCTCATTCTCTCGGTTTACTCTTACGGTTTCTACTCTCGGCACACTCTCACACCTCTGGTACGTACGCATGGCGTTGACGGTATGATACGACTCTCTTTCTTCCTTCTTCTTGTTCTTCTTTTTGGGCGTTGCTTTTCGGGCTATGCTGGCGAAGGTGTACAACGCGCAGTGCTTTGGATGGTGGAAGCTGCGTTGTCAAGATCAACATGGAGGATGAACGAACGTTCAGAGGTATGATGGATGAAGGTCTTGGTGGATACTGAAAGGATACGGTCCGACGGGCATGATTGTTTAGGCGGATGATGGGCGAGAGCTTGTATATGGCGTGGGACATGGCGGTGGAGGAGTGCTTACTTCGGTACGTTCTGTGAAAGGACTTCGGTCTTGTTCAGATCTTTCACTTGGTCTCAGGTCTCCTCACATACGATTGCACATACGATTGCGCATGTATCAGCGGCATTTACCACGGAAGCGGAGGACTCATGGCTGCTAATAGCATATAGGACCAGCTCGTCTCTTCCTGTCTTCCTGGATGACATGTATGCCAATAATCATGTGTTTAGATACTTTCTTGGATTTCTCCTTCGTTACCCTGGCCTTTTGATGTGGAGAGTTGAGGATGTGGATTGGGTTCATGAGGCTGTGGCTGTGGTTGTGGTTTGACCCTTCTCTGCTGCTGACTATGCTGTTGCCTGACGTCGTGATAGGTTTCGATTGTATCGTTTTGTTGTGGCTAACTAGACTACCGGTCCACCACCTCCAACTTCCTTATACGACAGGCTGCTCACACTGCGAAGACCATACAACACCAGATCGATGCTGCATAGGCCTTGCTACCCTAGAATGATCTCCTTCCACTCGTCGTCTGAGAGCGTGAACGCCGCCTTGAAGACCTTGCCGAGAGCTACACGACGATGGATGCCTTCCTTTGGGAACGGCTCCACCAAGAGTACGAAGTACAAATCCCACTCAGAATCAACTCTCTCCTTCGGCAAATAATACGTCCAAACCGGAAACTCCTGTTGACTGAACGATCTGGCGTCGGAAATGGCAATAAACTCGAATGTAGTCTGACCAATGGCTTCGTACTTTTCCAGCCATTCTTTGTTGACGATGATGGACCCGCATTTATCGCCCCTCCGGTCTGTGATATGGCAGCGAGCTCTTGTTGCTCCGACATCTTCGCCCTCGAAGTCGGACTCATTAGATCGTACGACGTGAAAAGAGGCCCGCCAAGTATAGAACTGCAGGAATGGCTGGTCTGGAAACTCTTTGAGACCCTCGGCGGGTTGGTTAGAATCCGAGACCCTAACGTGATACGGATCTTCGGGCAAGGTCAGCCGGAACTCCAGTTGTTTTCGGTATTGTATTCCATCCAGTGGACTTCCTGTCAACGGCCGACCGTAACTATCATAGGCTTCGCGTTCGGCTGCTTCCTCGGACATTCGTTTGTGGGTCTTTTTCATGCGCTCCACCTCTTTCTTGCTAAAGCTGCTTGAGCTTCGACGATTGAAAGTACCCGTCGAATATCGTTTCTTTTTTATCCTCGCATGCTTGGTCGCAGTGGAAGTAGAGTCGGTACTGCTCTGTTCATCGCTCCCGTCAGCCGCAGGAATGGTAGGCTCGTCTGCCGGTCGTACAGGTGCCTTGTACCCTCTCCATTTATCGTCAGTACTCCGATCTGTGATGGAACATTCTCTGTCCCAAAGGCGACGAAGTGTTCCGTGGCCATCTCGAATATGCCAGTCAATCCATGTGTGGCCTAGCAGCCAAGCCTGGACATCGGAGAGACACCCATCGACCATCTGCGGTTTGTACTGAATTCCATCGCTCTTCCACCCACACCACGACCAGCTGGGGAATTTGATGTCTTTGTACTTTGGTTCTTCCGACACCCGTTTGTAGTCTAGTAGAGCCAAGAGGTCGACGGGTTCCCACAAAAGGGCGAGATCGAAATGCGATGTTGGAAGCCCGAAAGCGAAGGGCGCCTGCATGGTGCCCTCCATCAACTTGCACATTCCACTGAACGCTGCCAGGATATCCAGCGGTTCGTAAAGCTCGCGCAATGTGTATAAATATACGCAGTGGGCATAGAACCACATGCCACGTTGCTTGAGCTCGGTGAGCATCTGGAGAGGAGCTTGTACCAAGTCCAGCGACCATCCTCTACCCTTCCCGTCCGCGAAGATATCTTCTGACATACCAGTAGAGCGACATTGAAAGTAAATCTGACCTCTGGTAAAGATTAAGCAACGTTTGGAGAGCAGTCGTTCTTGGAACGTCCAAGCGCGTTTGTTCCACTTGGACGTCTGGATGCTGATCTCAGGTGGCTGGTGCAAGATCAAATGCACACCCTCCGCATAAACTCCGATCTGCTGCTGAGGCCGTTGATCTTCATCCAGGGCCAGCAAACCCGTCTGCGACTCACCATCTGCAGCGCAGATTGTGAGCATCGCGTTTCCGTATATGAGATGCATGGCTCTTGCATTGAGATTCCAAGAGTGGCTACTATCCTGCACTATGCACAATGCATCAATCCAAACATACTTGATCCCCAGGTCATGCACCAGACGAATGCTTTGCGCGAGAGCTTTCGGAAGCTTCCGTATAGTGGCAGCCAGACCACCGGACTTCCGCCGACTTTGTATGTTCTCAATTTTTGTCCGGTAATCCATACTACCTGTATCTCCCCAAACATAGCTCACAGCCGCATATGCTTCGAATTCAAGACGCTCATCCGTCTCCTCGAACGGCAAAGGAACAAGGCGATCGTTCTCGATATCGATGACGCCGAAGTATGGTTCCATCAACGTCTCAAGGAATGGGTTCTCGATGCCAATCTTTTGGGTGCATCGACGGTCGTGGTTCGTTTCGCATAACCTCACGAATTCGCGGATGAGGTTTTTCTTGTTCTCTGTTGCACCGAAGCGGCGACCGAGGAATTGCGTCTCCTTGTTCAACTGCTTAGGGTAGTCGAGATCGGAATTGGCGTACTTAATTGGTGCTGCTAACACCAGGTAGGACTCGAAGGCCTTGAGTGATGCATCGCTCCATGTAACTCTCAGTCGGCGGGTTCGCTTCTCTCCCAGTGCGCGTCTGGGGTCAACGGAAAGGCGGCCGTCCATCTCCCATGTGAGATGGCATATTGCCTTAGTAGCATCGACATCCCTCAAGAAGTCCTTCGCGATGGAGTTCACCACGAGGCGGCAGAGAGGGCAAGCTCCTGCTCTCTCAGTAATGCTGTCAAGAGTTCCCAGGCGAAACCTTTCATTAGCCAATCGCAAAGAATCAAGCGACGGACGTATCTCTGCTGCTTTGTCGTCCTCAATGACGAATTTTTCGATGCTGAGATTGAGCGATGCGCACTTTTCGCACGGTCGCTCAACTCTGTCCACGACCGCGTGGTTCTCGGCGGAATGGTTCGATATCGACCCTTCCATTAGTGGCCCGAAGTCGGTCGTGATCGACTAGATGAGGGACTTGATGTTTCGCGCCTGACAATCAAAGTTCAGCGGTTGTTTTCAGGGCTGGCCTCACACCAACCTAGGAAACGGTGGACACCCTAGAGCCTATGTTGACGTTAGGTAACCTACTTCGCAAGTTTTGTGTTTGATCTAGTCTGCGAACCTGTTTAGCGATTTCCTTGTATGAGAGGGCCTTGGGATTAGTACCAAGAATGTCGCTAATCTGTTGTAATCTGCCGCTCATTAAGATGAGTTCGATGCTGCTAATTTACGTTCCCAACTATTGGATCTAAGCCTGCGCATGAGAAGCCAAACCATGGCTTTTGAACGCAGCGCGAGAAGGCTCGCTAAGGCATAGCTGAACCGCTGTCACTCAGCTTCATACTCTCAGCCGCCCATATTAGGCGACGCATATACGACAGCACTGTAGATTCAGACGAACGACATCCAAACAAAAGGATGCAGAAGCAGAAGCAGCGTAGTCTTTGCAGTGCAGCGTGCGTCGCCGACGAACATGGTGGGTGTCTCTCCCGTGTGATTGGGCCACGTTCGTTCTTCGGGAGGGTCCAGCCGCACCCGTTCACACCAGCAAGACCATATGCATGCCGAACACGTCCCCAGGTAGTCAAAGGTTGCAGTATGCATGCTAATCATCTATCCACCTCCTCATCTGAGCTGGGTCAATCTCTCCACAGGTTAGACTGTGTCCCACGCCGCGGGCCCCAACATCACCTATGCGAACCTAAGCGCTAACATCGCAGAGACTTCACGGTTTCGAATCTCTCGCGATTCTGGTTGTCATATACTACGCTGACTGCTTCCCTCTATGGCAGTACTGCGGGGACTTCCTTCGCGCATGTAACTGCGGTCGCGGGGTACCTATCGCAAAAGTATTGTGGAATTTCTCATCTGTTCACACGAACGCTTTGAGTGCTTTGGGAAGCTGATCTTGAATGTTCTACGATCTAGCCAAGCAAGGCTTTGGCGTGTGTGATAGTTGACTCAATTTTAAAACGTCATTAGACCAAATTGGAGTGCGAGAATTCTGATCTAGATCCAGGGAATTGCCCTAGCGTAACAGGCAGAGCCTTGCGCTGTAGATTTCAAGCGGCCTTATCTAGAAGTCTGTTATAGAAACAACTAACTGCGCTGTGGTATAGGCCAGCGAGGGTAACGCCACTAACCACCCAACCGGCTGCTGTCGCCTTGTCGTTCGTCAGGAATTCTGTAAGTTAGCCAGGTCGTATGTAAAACATGAGATTGAACACACTTATGCTTAGACACTCAGCGAGGAACATGGGCAAGACCGGTACTCGATGTCGGAGGCAACAAAGCCAGAGCATGAGGAATAGACGTGTTGGAGGATGCGGGCAGCTCAGCTGAAGCGCCAGCCTCGACAAACTCAGCCGTGACGACTCAGCCTCGCGCACCAGAGCAGTACTCTGTAAGTCTGCACAAGGCTCTCTCCTACACATACCAGATCGCCATTGTGTACGATGGCTTTCTCTTCCATCGGCATCTCGTTCGCGAGTGGAAGCAATCAGGAACCGCAGAACAACAACAACAACAACAACACCTGTAGCGTTATCGGCTTGCCCATACCTGGTAAATGCCCGTTAAAGCCTTACTGTAGCCAGCGCAGTGCTAATGGTCCTTTGTCTCCGCAGAACGTTCAGAAACTCCGGTACAGCCCTCGTTCTTCGTGCCGTTCGCCCGCGACCCAGACTTCGTCGAGTGTGGGTCGCTGTTGGATCAAATCCGCGAGCGATGCGCTGCGCCAGCATCTCGTGTCGCGGTGGTGGGCTCCGCCGGAGTGGGGTCAGTCTAGCGAAGGCAACCTCGGGTTAACATTCGCGCCTGACACAAGATACAGGAAGACGCATCTAGCTATCGAGTACTGCTATCGTACCCGTGGGCAATTTCGGTGGGTGTTCTGGGTGCATGCCCTCGGCTGCGCCCGGTTCGAGCAGGGCTACCGCGACATTGCCGACCACGTCAAGATCCCTAGACGACAAGATTCCCAAGTCAATGTTGTCAAGCTGGTGAACGACTGGCTTAGCGATTGCAAGGAGCGCTGGCTGCTCGTGCTAGATAGCGTGGAGGATGCTGGCCCTTTTCGCGACAACCTGGGTAATGACCAAGGTCAACCTGCCCACGGCCCGAAGACCGCTTCAAGACCGATGCGCATGAGCCTTCCCTATTGTGATCGCGGCTCCATTCTCATTACAACGCGGAGCAAGAATGTTGCATTGGAGTGTGTGAAGCTGCGCGACATCATATCTGTAGGTCCGATGGACGAGGTGCAGGCGCGGGCCCTCGTTGAGAACAAGCTAGGAGTACAGGAAAGAGGTGACGCCTCTGTCGATGAGCTTACAGCGATGCTCGATTACTCCCCGCTGGCTATGGTACACTCAACGGCATACATCTCGAAAAGAGCGCCCCGATGCTCTGTGGCAAAGTATATCGAGGAGTTCAAGAGCGCGCCGAAGAGATCGAGCCCTCGTATCTACGAAATCGACGGTCATATTTCCAATTCATGGAAAAAGGACAGCCTTGATATTCAAATGTTGAGTTCAGAACGGGCGGGAACGGATGCAGCAGTAGGAGCAAACAGTAATGGTCGCCAGGTCCAGCGAAAGAGGAAAACCGCTATCGCTTCTACCTGGCAGTTGTCATTCGAATATATGCAGTCAACGCGGCCGTCTGCAGCAGGCTTACTCGCAATGATGAGCTTCTTCGATGGACGAGAGATTCCGGAGGCCTTGATACGGAGGCTAAGCAAGCACAAAAACGCTCAGGGAAGTCAAAACTCGTATGGCAACCACGACTTCGATAGTGACAAAGAAGATGATGTATCACAATGTGGTGCAGACTACGACGCATTCGACGACGACGTACTGACACTACTGAAGTATAACTTCATCTCAGTTCGCACTGGAGGTACAAGCTTTGTGATGCACAGACTCGTGCAGTCAGCGACGCGCACATGGCTCGATGAAAGCGACAGAGTTGAACCTCAGAGGCAGCAGCGCATCAGTAATCTTTGCGCTGAGCTTCTGCAAGGGCAGTACGGGAACTGGGAAGCATGTCAGGCCCTTTTGGAGCACGTTCGGTCGGTTGCGAAAGTCGATATGAGAGCACCAAAACGACCCCCGATGCCGTTACTTGGGAGAAACAGTTTCTCGAATGCAGATGACGCACTCATGGCCGACGACGAACGAAAAGTCTTCTTTGACGCGCGGCCCTCAAAAGAGTACGTTGCTGATCTCCAACTTTTGAAACAAGCCAATAACTTCTCTACCTAGACCAGTGCAGTATGGCGCATGGATGCATGGTTACCGAAACTTCTGCAGTCGCATCGCTAGCCACAGCAAGTCGCAAAGTGTCAATTTCCCCGTCAAGGTAGCAATAATCGACACAGGCATCGACGTCACAAACCCCTTCATCGGGTCTAAATGGCCACCACTGGGATCTATGGAGGAGGATGAAGAAGTAATAGGCCAAGCCACCCTGAATGAACTACGCGAGAGGAAGATCCAAGAATTTTATAAAGACTTTCTAGAAGAGCCCTCGGCACCGAACGACAACGAGGGACATGGTACTCATATTGCCGGTATCATCTTACGACACGCTCCTTGTGCACATCTATACGTGGCACGTGTTGCGGATACGACCGCTTCGTGTAACAAGGATCCTGCATTCGGGCGACGAGTAGTCAGTGTAAGTGCCAAACCCTTGTATATCGAACACTTTCTAACAGCTATTGTGAGGCCATACGATACGCACTTGAGACCTGGAAAGTGGACATCATATCACTGTCATTTGCTATACACGAAAGCGAATCAAAGCCTGACATCGACTCTCTCCTCAAGCAAGCTTACGCCTCGAAAAAAGAAACTATCATATTCGCTGCGGCATGCAACGAAGGTGGGAACCAGCCAGTTCCATATCCAGCAAACAATCATTCCGTATTCAGCATCCGCGCTCTAACAACCTATGGGAAAGACGCGCAATTCAACCCCAATCCTACGACCTATGAGCCAAATTTTGCTATGCTGGGGACAAATGTCCTGTCAACTTGGCCAACTCGACTCGGAACATCAGACACAAGCAATACCAATGACATGGCGGGTGCGCAAAAAAGGAAGATAGGCGGCATCGAATGCATGACTAAATACATGGACGGCACTTCCTTTGCGACACCATTGGCTGCTGCGCTTGTCGCGAACGTACTCGCGTTTCACAACGAGCATGGAAGAAAGAACATGCCTAAGTCATGTCAGATTCAGAACTATGAATGTGTGCGCAAAATTTTGTTGCAGATGAGCGAAGACAATCGAGGTTTACTGGCTATTATGCCATGGAAGAAGGGGAACATCTTCTGCATGTCAAACGAGTGGACAATCGAGGACTTGATTGCGGCCTTGAGATTTTCTCTTCGTTCATAAGAATATATCAATGCTGGCTTCTGACTCCTCTGTAACTTTACGAATGTGACAAGCTGGGTCAACCTGCCTGGGATTATCTATCCTGAAACCCAGCAGCTGCAATATGTCTCGGTCACAATGCTTCCTTGACGGCTGCGCTTTGGACTGATGTAGCTCCAGAGACAGTCTTCGCAATGCGATATCGTCATACTACATATTTTGACAAAGGAAAGCTTCGTTGTCCTCTCCCACGTTCAATCCGCTGATGTCCTTCGCCTCCAAAAACCCACTCGGCACCATGTCAGATCCCATATCGTTTTCCAATTCTACCTCATTCATCTCCTGTGTCTCGTCCTCACTTTCCTCGCTATACGTCTCATAATCCCTGTTATTTCCTGCCCCAGCAAGATCACCACCAACCTTCTCTTTCGTCTTCACAACTCCGCCAAACCAGCTGACATACACTCTCTGTATGCGATATGCCCACACGAAATCCGAGCACTTGGTATACGTCTCAATAGCCTCTTCGCTTTTCTCCACGCTGCCCGTCGGTCCACCCGACATCGGCGCGCCGGTCAAAGTCATCAAATCCACAGTCGCCGCACCACCTAGCCCAACTTTTCGTACCTTCTTACCAGTGAACCTGACTCCCCTCGCAATCTTTACTCCTGTAACCATATACGCCGCGCCAGATAACCTCCTCTTATCCAGCCAATTCTTCACTTCCGGAACCAAACGAACGCTATCCTCGACGTATTTATGCGTCGGCTCGATGAACTTGGTATCCAGGCGCTCAAAACCCCATTCCACACTATTGACGTGCTCGCGGCTCATCTCGGCGTCTGCACCAAGAGGACTGCCCAGCTGGGCGAGGAACTGGGCTTGAACGCCCAGCGCTCCAGAGACGGCTCTGGCATGGTCGAAAGTGTAGTTCTCTTTGAACCTAGATTCGATTTCTGGGAGAGGGGATTCGGAAGTGTTAAGGGGCGGGCTTAAAGCGCGGTATGGTATGCGAATGTTGGTGATAATTTGACCGAGTTGGATGTGCTTTGTGTCATAATCGGTGGTGGAGAGAATGAAGTAGGTTTTGCGATTGTGCATTGCGAGGTTGACTTGCTCCGAGAATAGGAGAGACGGAATAACTATGGATAGGAAATGACTTGGGTATTTGGAAAGAAGGCTGAGGGTGCGGTTCTCTTATGCAGGTGTCCACTGCCAATCCGACCAGCCGCTCAGCTGGAGCGCCAGCCTAATCAGCCTCGACAATCCACCCGCGTCGATGGATCGCCCAGATCAGCAGCTCGTCGATAGGGAAACGATCTCAAGTACCTAAGCTTACGACCAAAACTCAGACCTTGGCAACCTGTTGATATGGGGTTTCTAAAGGAATAGTTTATAAGGAGACCTACAGGGTTCCAAAATGAGGCAGCCGATACGCCCTCCTTCAGCTTATCTTCAGCACCCACGCTTCCAGGTCGCCCTTCGTCCTGCTGAGCAATACATTCATGCGAAGATGACAAGGTCAGGAGAAGAGGGCAACCAAACAGAAGAGAGCAGACGCAGATTAAACCTGCTGCATGCATTGGTGGCTGGTTTGTGGCTGCCGTCACCAAACGATTGGGCCACGTTCGTCTTTTAGAATGGTTCAGCCGGACCGGTCAAGGTAATCGGGTCATGACGCAGCAACGAGGAGATAGACGTCACGGCTAATTTCTTAGGCAATAACGGATTGCAATCTAACTGTCGACTATTCGTGATCAGATGTGGCGGCTGACTAGCGTGGGCTTGTCTATGTACTTGTCGCGTCGCGATGCGAACATCAACATCCCCGATGCCGACCGGAACGCTAACACGCGTAGACCTTCGCGCCGCCGATCTCTCGCTATCTTACCTGTTACATACTCCATCTACTGCTTCCCTCCATAACAATAATGCGGCATCTTCCTTCGCCCGTGCAGCCTCCCTCGCTTGGTAATTATTGCGTATATGACCGTTGGAACCACCATTCTGACAGAGTGCTGATAGAGTCTGCTCGCATATCGACGTGTTGATGGGGAGATATGTCCTGTCCAACACAGGGCGTCCTGCTTCGCACTTGTCGCGTATATAAATGTCAAAATCATCTATTCTTTTACATGCGACCATACCTTATCTGTTAATCCTCGTAATTAACATCTGGTCTCAGGATAACACGTCTTCTTTCTCATATGAGACTCTACGGAGCGGACAGATACGCAAGAGCTCGATCAGTCACTGCTGTGAAGGAAATATTGAGCCATGGACGATGCGACAGATGCTGTGTCGGATATTAAAGATTAACATTGTTTCGTACCCGTCAACATCGATACAACGCGCGACATGCTCGAGCGATAGCGCCAGAAGTCGTGCTATAACCTTGTACCAAAACAATACACCTATCCAGCGTACCTTCCCAGCACAAACAAGCTTAACCTAATCCACCAATTCACTTCCCCTTCCTCCGATACGGACTCGCCATCCCCCCACTCAGCCTCCCACCCTGCACATTCCACTCAGCCGCACTCGCCGCCCCAGCCCCATCCCCATTAACCCCATCAACCTCATACCCACCAAAATTCCTCTCCTTAAAATCATTCCAGCGCTCTCGAAGCGTTTTCTTCTTACGGTCTGCTCGTCGCTGAGCATCTAAATCCGAGCTATATTCAGAACCGAGGACTGCTGCGATGGTACTCGCGGGTGCGCCGCTGCTGTGTCGTTGGTTTGTGGGCGGCTTGGGGCGTGATGTAGGGGAAGTGGATTTGTCATCGGGGTATTTTGGTGGCTGGGCTGATGGCTCGGCGTCGTAGTAGATTGGTGGTGTTTCGTCAGAGTCGATGTTGTCTCTTTTGACGTTGGTGTTGGTGTTGGTGTTGACGTTAGTCGAATCTGGCTTTTCGATGCCCGGAGTGTCATCCGATTTCGCGCCCATATCGCGTCTGGGGAGAGTGTCGCAAGTGATTGTTGGGTTTGCAGTGTTGTGGATGTAATGGCAGTAGCTTTGTGTATGATAACGGTGAAATGAGTAGGGCCAATGGCGCCAATGCTTGGGCGACGTAGGGTGGGGTGACTTATTTGCTGCGACATATTGCTCCTTCGTACTAATGCTCAGGTGGCACAGCAATGCCAATACTTGCATGACAAAAGACACAACGTGCCGTAACTCCGATGTGCCACCTGAATGGCCGGTTCGATCTTCTTAGTAAGCACACACATCATCATATCAACACACTTCAACATACAAGTCTACGCAGTAATCATTACAACTATAAACCACCAGCCAGCAAATATACCCATTCCACAGAAACAAACCACTTCTCAAACAAAGCAGTCAAAGTGGTATAAACGCCTATTTCCAATGTTATGATTGGGAAGTTGAAGCCCCGAAGGCCCCGAAGGGGAAGAGAAAGAAGAAGTGAGTGTACAAAAAAGGGGGTGGATGGGAATGAATCTATTATTCTCCTTGGCTAGAAAGAAAAAGCTATAACAGCTTTTTATCTTTGCCTTACAAGACTTTTGGTGCTACATGATTGGGTTGTGGAGAGGGTGCTGTGCGATTCGGGTTCGACGGGGGGAGATGCGCATTGGTGCTGGGGTCGGGAGTCGCGGGGTCGGGGGTGCTGGATTCGTTTCGTGTCGACTTTAGGCAAATTCGGGATGACCGCAGCCACCTGGAGTCTTTTCCGCGGGTGGACGATAGGTTGAGACACCATTAACCAATTCCCAATGTCCGAATCTGGTGCCATGGTTGTACGACGAAACGACTCCGCCTCCTCCTCCGAATTGGGACGCATGCGATGACGCTGCTCTATCAAGGATCTCCGGGTAAGTGCGAGGGACGTAGACCGATGACCCCGGGGGAGCGAAGTTCCGTGCGCGACGACATTCTTCGAACGGATGGGCTCCGTACTGTGCTTCGAGGTGCTGGGATACGCGAGGGGGAGCTAGAACCTATGTTTTAGCCACATGCTAGACGGTACCTCCAGAGAGGTTATCCAACATCTTGGCCAACACAAGGTTCAAGCAGTGCTGGGGGAGGGAAGGGGTATCAAGACAATCAAGCCATTACGCCTTGGTTGCCGCCTGGGAAGGGGAAGTCAGTGGGCTGGAGTATATATATAAGGTGGGGATGTCGATTTCACTACAGAGGAGCGGGGCGGAGGTAGGGGTTGTAGCCGAGCGACGTACCGACTTGACGCTTGATCTGTTCACGTGCCCATCGAGCAGTGTCCCGGGTTCGACCGCTGAAGTCTTGGTTTGCGCGTGTCTCCCTCGCCATTGCGGTGAGGAACTCGTGACGGAAGTACTCCCGGAAGTCACCAGCTGGGAACGCATCCGCGAGGTCACTAAATTATGTTAGTGAGATATGTTGAAAGAGGGACACTTGTACATACCCGATAACACCACACGAAGATCGGAGGAGAGCCTCAGTGCGGTTGCTGTCTGCTTGGATAGTGCGGAGGAGGTCGAAGATGGAGTCAAGGTATGGGACGATGAGTTGAGCTGGAACTGTTAGTGTGTCATCAACGTCTTGGATTACAAAACTTACTCTTGTTGCTGCTCTTCATGGCAACGATGCAACCATCCCATGCATCCATAATACCCTCACGGAGGGAGGTGATGTAGTCGATCATCTCGTAGTTGCCCTCGGTGGTCAATGTGACTTGTCCAGCTTGTTGCAGCACTTGAGCAACAACGGTCAGGTAAGTCTCGAATGCACCGTGGATGGCGTGGGCGATATCACCGAAGCATTGCAGAATAGCTGGCTTGAGCTGGTTGCCAAGTTGAGGGCTGCGTAGGTTGTGGAGAAGCGAGTTCATGAAGGCATCGCAGAATGGCTGAACGTTCTCGCCCAGAGATCGGGTGATGTCAGAAACCAGACCAATGGCCATGGAGCAGAGCGCGGGCTCTTCCTGGTTGTTAAGAGCATTGTACAGGAATGGTGAGAAAGCCTCCATGTACTTCTGGAAGTCCTCCTCGAGAGCCGTCGCGATCGAACCAATGGCGGCAAAGACAGTGTCTGGAACACTGGACTTGGGAGGCAAAGATGAAAGAAGACTCAGCAGCGCCTGCATGATACGGTCGGCTTGGGGCCTGATGTCGCTCTCCATGCGCTGGATGATGGCCATGATGACACTGGCCAAGCTAGTCTGCATCTCTTCGAGAGTCAGCTTATCCTCGACGTTAACGACCTGCGATTGAAGTGCCATGGACTTCTCCAGACGCTCCAGGATGACGTTGGCGAGCTCGTTGACCAGAGGAACGCTGTCACCAGCGGCGTTGTTGACGAATGAGTTGAGTACTTCGTATGCGGCTGTGCGGAGAGTGTTGTCGGCATCAGCGCGCTCGGTGACTTGCAAGAGGCTCTGCACGCTCTGGGCGAAATGAGGCGACAATGGGTTGGTTGTGCAACCGGGCTCTCCGGCGAACCTGTCAGCCAAGTTCATCAGCGACCAACAGCACGATGCGGCCATCTTAGGGTTGCTGGCGAGACCGTTGAATAGAGCTCCGATCAGGGGAGGCAGGTGCTGCTGCGCGTCGAGTGCGCTGGGAACAGCCTCGCAGATGCGACCCAAGGCGTATGCGGCGGAGTCCTTGACGTGAATGTTTTGGTCGTCCATCATTCCAATCAAAGTAGGCAGAGCTTGCTTGACAATGGGGTCTAGCACAGACTCCTCAGGACCCTCCATGATGGCACCAAAGGCGGAGACGGACGCATCACGGTAGTGCCAGTCTTCTGAGCGGATGTACTTCTCGATGAAAGCAAGAACAGGGGGCATAACGCCGCTACCGACACACTGTGCCCAGAGCTGCAGACATTGGTATGCTGCGCGGGAAGTGTTGTACTCGTTGTCGTCGGCATCCTCGTCTTGCTTGGCAAGAAGCTCGAGCAGCACTGGAACGACCTCTTGTGTGGCAACTCGGGCAAAGTTGAAGTATTCGCGGAGCTCGGTGGAGCCCTCGGCTTGAGCCTGGGAGTTGTCGTCCTCGATGGCGATTTCCTCCTCGCAGACGGTGCACCAGAACTCGACAGCCAACTTGGCAACATCCTCTTCCTCGCTCTTCATGCCTTGGATGGTAAGACC